GCATGTGACTTCCTCTCTAACCTGCCTGGCCCATTTCTACTTATCCCGCCTGGCCCATTACCACTTATCCCACCTGGCCGATCTGATGGCTCACCTTGCAAACCCAACAATTTGTCCTGCTTCGTAGGCCCATTTAAAGGCCCATTTTTTACTTTACTTAAAGTCAGTTTAAGCCCATTCTCTTCTTGGACTTTCGAATTGGCCCTTACCACTATTTGTTCAACCGCCTTGTTAGTCCCACCAATTTGAGAGCCTTGATAGTCTGGTTTTGCATTTAACATACCTGTCACAACCTCTGCAAAGGCTCTTTTAAACTCTGAAGCTTTGCCTTGGCTTGCACTCTTCCCATTTTCCTTTTCGGGTAATTCTTTCTTGTTCTTTCTCCTTAAGCTTTCCAATTCTGTGGTAGTTTCAGCTAATTTGAAATGCACCTATCTCTATGATCCATGCAGGTAATCTTCTTCTACCTCCTCATCCTCCTTCCTCCTGGACTCCTTCCACAGAGCTTCTTCAATGGACGTTAAAAGCCACACTGAATAGAAAGCATTGTCAGCATAAACCTCAATCTTCCTGGGAATTTCTTCAGGCTTTGCTCCGTTTATTCTCATGGCTGCTGATTGAAGATCTTTTAGAAACACACCTTCCAGTTTAGCTTTGCACAAGGAGGCAATGGATTGAAATAATTCTAGCTTCCACAAATGGAAAGGTAGGCCAGCAAGTCTTATGGTTACCCCATCCTCCACTGAGAAGTCCTTCACGTTTGAACTAGGAGACCACCTCATCACTGTGGCTGCCCTGGTCTGCAACTGGAAGTTTGAAGCACTAACTACTGAGACATCCTCCAACAGATCTAGAAGTGCTTTACAGTCTTCATAAGGGGTGACCATTACTGGACCTTTTACCTTCAGGTTCTTGAGTAAATCTTCTATTATAATCCTCCAATCCTCTGGTTTCTTTTTAATTTCAACTACCAACTTCTTTTCCCATTCTATCTTCTCTATATTGAAAACCATCTTGTCTCTTCCCAAGCCATTCACCAGAATGTTCCCAGAATTTGCTTCCTTGTCACTTAGGGATCCGCTTGTTTCTCCAGTAATCTGAACACCCTCGGTACCTTCCTTCATCTCTTTCAAGATGTCCTGTAGAATGTTTTTTTATCTCCCTCCAAACCATAACACTTCTACCTTCAGGAATGCAGATGAGTTGTTTCTTTCCTTCTCCAAAAAACTCAATCAGAGCAATGGATCTACCTTTTGTATTCCATCTTCTTTCTACTAGGTACCTTCGATCTTGTTGTTGTTTAGAGCTCTTCCAATCTGTATGTTTGCCTGACTGTAGTGCTCCTTCCATGAACAGTTTGAGCCACTCAACCACCTCAATACCTACCAGCATAGCTGTAGTGCTCCTTCCATGAACAGGTAGATCCATTACTTTGAACCTCTCAAAGAAAAAGTTTTTAGCTTCAGCGTTCAGAAATCTTCTCCAGGTTGCTTTCTGCGTAAACTCCATCTTCCTGAACTTTGAACAAGGACCTACTGTGTAAAAGATACTTAAAAGTTATAAAACCTTTTTTTTATAGGGATTAAGAATTTAAGACCATGATATGTACTTGTTTGGGATTGCTTTGAGGGACTTAGTACAAAGGTCGCTCGTAGAATCAGGAATGCATAATATTTAACATCACATCAGCTATTTGAAGTAATGCAATTGGGGAAAAAATAAAGAGATTGAGAGTTTTACATGCTTGAATATGTTTATGTTATGCTTTATTTTATTTTTAAATTTTCATTTTAAATAGGTTTTTACATGCTATGTTTATGTAATTTAATTTGAGATAATAGGCTTTTTTTACAACATTTATTTTAAGACTTAAGTTTATATTTTTAATTAAAATTGTGTTTCATATTTTTAATATTTTGCACTTTTTGTCATTTTTTTTGAATTTTTAGCATTTTTGTGCCTTGCTTTGAAAAGGCATGTGCCTTGCCTTGCGCCTCGCACCTCACGCGCAAAATGACCATTGAGCTTTTTTTGCACTTTTTACTTTTAAAACATTGCTTCAAGGTGTTCCTGTTATCTTCCTCTTCCTTACTACCTTCTACGTGAGTAGAGGCTAAGGTCATTGGCCTTTATGAGCTGCAAAGCCAAGAGGTTAGTGTATTTTGCTGCTTTTGCCTTTGACTGTTACAGTGTTTCTTGTTGCTGCTGGTAATTCTCTGTATGTCTTACTCTGTTTGGGAATAATGTTAATACTGGCCGTCATTTGTGCTGAGGCATATTGTAAGTACTGATTTTCAAATGCATTGTCTCCCAGCTAATGGCCCTTGTCTTTGGTGAGGTAGGACCTGACCAAATGGCTTTAATTTGAAATAGGGAGAGACTCTAGGGAAGATGCATGAAGAAAGAGGGATAAGAGAGGATCCCATGAGAATCAAAGCTCAAAAAGAAGTGAGGAAACCCAACAAGGAAAGAATATCCACAATATTTCCACTTTCATTTGTTTTTTCATGACCACAGAATTTCCTTTTAAATCCTAGGTTCCAATTAAAATCCGATGGAGAGGAGACGACAAATCAAGAGATGAGCTGATTTTTTAAAGAGGAAATAGAAGCTAGAGAATTTCTGCATACAC